TTTTTTTTTTTAATTTGCTTAAGCTGGCACCTCCAGTGAGTTTCTATGAAAGGCCTAAGAAGCTTTTAATATTGATACATTTGTTTTACGCTATGTATAGAAAATATTCGCGAGGTCCCCGAGCGTACCGAAGAGTTCTTGTCTGGAGAATCTCCCTCGACGCTCGTACTGGCTTCTGGAGTCGGTACCGTAGACTTCGAAGTCGTTAATACGCTTGATACGTGAATGTTTCGTGGCGCATTCAGGATATAAAAAGCGGAACTGGAAGGATATTGAGGCCTCATGCCCGACCGCTGGTCAGGATTCCCTTTGACATTCACTTGGCCGCCGCTAGCGGCGATGGTGACTGCATCCTCAGAGTCCTGGAGGGGAGTTAAAGAACAGATTCATATAGTTAAAACAGGAAATCACGTCTTGTTTTTCTCGTGTTTCTTCATTTCCCTCGACTCCAGTTTTCAATATATGTAACTTAAAGTAGCCCACCTGTTTATTAATATTATCATAAAGAACAGTCAAGCTTCAGCCATGCTTCAGCAGCATCTCGTCGTACGACTGCCTCAATATGGTATGACAATAGAATCAAAATAAAGTGCCAGGCTAGTTGGTCACAGATAATAAAATGCACGCTGCGGAAAAGAACGCTGAACACATTCTCTTTTTTCATAAGTTGCTAAAGAGCGAACGCTACGGCGCTTCGAACCAATCGGAGCGATTGAGGCCAAGCACGTGACAACTCCTGCCAAGGATTCATGGGCTAGAGCGTAACTCAAGTAGTTCGATAAGAGGGGAAGAAAGAACTTCATTCCAATCAGGACCCTCTTTTGTGTGCCCCAGACGTCGCCTTTGTTCAAAGAGAAGAAAAGCCTGTCACTCAGGTTTGTGCAAAGGCTTCTTTTATTTCTTTCCCGCCCGTGGCTTTGACAGCACTACGCGCAGTTTGTAAGATTAGGTACAGTCACGTGTCTCCCTCCAACAGGCTGATTGGCTCACTGGGACTATAGTCTCCGCCGATTGCAAAGTTACGGTGGGACAGAGAAGCAGGAGAAGCCAGGACGAGCTAGAAATGTGTCCTCAGGTGTATGTTTATATTCAAAATTTGAATTTTATGGAGCGCATTTGCGACGAAGAACCGAAGAAATTCGCCTTGCTTTGCGTTCGCTTTGCGCGCGGCGCAACAGCAACTCTTCCCATCACAGCTCAGGGCGTACGCCGCTGGGCGAAGTTTGTCGCTTTCCTTCGCTCTGTGGAGTCCAGTTTTTAAAATATCCGGAACTGATCTGCGCTGATCTGGCACCAGATCACGTGGCAGCTTGGTCTGCCACTGCCATTGGGTGGGGAAAACCAAATAAGAGTTTCGTTAGTATTGGCCATCAAAGAATAGACCTATAAGAATAAGTTAGCGGAAAAATTTTCTCGCTAAACATAGCGGGAAAATTTTCCCGCTAAATTTAACGGCACCATTTCCCCCCTAACTATAGCGGGTTAAGTTTCCTCGATAAATTTAGTGGGGAACTTGACGTCGCGTGACCTCAACACCAATTCAGTTTCTACGCTAAATTTAGTAGGGAAAATGACGCCACGACTTTGTGTCACTTTACACATGACCAAATTCAGCCGCGGGAGAAGAGGAGGAGGAAAAAGGAGGAGGGGAGGAGAGGAGGGGGAGAGGACGACGAGGAGTAGAGGAGGAGGGGCATACCCTCCCCTCGTCCTCCACAAGAGCTGCGCTCTAGTTTCACATTATAGAGTTTTGTAAACGCCTTTCATTTTTTTATACATTTTGATCTACGAATACCAATCAACCGAAATTTCGACATTACTTGACATATGACATTTTTGGGTTTATCGACAGAGAATGACGTAAATCGATTACGCCTAAACTAGAGTGGCGATGCAGACTACTTGCTGGATTAGTGGATAGATTAAACACAGCGGACAGATAGACGAAGACGGCGAAAAAAACACACGACGAGCGCTGAATACAGTGCACATCCCGTGTCCTTATATCCGTGTTCGAATATTTGTCCGCCGTATTTTACTTACTTAGGCTTAACAAGAATACAAAAGTACAGTTGGAGAACAATATCAGTGCTGGTTCCAATCCTTGAAATTCGGCATCTCACAATTGACAGAAAAGGAATATTTAGCATATTTACAAAAAACAGCTACACCTAATGATACTACATGGCGGCCGCCACACAAACGTTGTCCATACATTTCTTTTTTTATATTTCATACTTTTATATAGAGTAGAATAAAAAGAGTTACTTAACTCCGCGCCACATCAGCTGCTAATGTTGTGGTTTTGCTGCTCGGCCCATAAAATCTACAGCATTAATTTCGTACCACCAAAATCGTTCTTCTAGGCAAGAACCAAATTAGCAGGATCCTGAGACAGTAGGGTCTTACTCCCCGCATGGTCGACATTTTGGTTAAATAAATGAGCAGTCTCTCCTTGACCTTTCCACTCTTTGTGGGCAAACCGAAATTCCCGGTGAAAGGTTGCATTATAAATGCACTTCTAGAACACCGAGATTTCGTTATTCGCACACCGGCGAAACAAGAACGATCATCTTCGCACGGTCTCCACATGCGGCGTCGGTGCTTGGCGACATAAAATGTTGGTGGCATGAAAAACTAAAACCTTTTCTTTTTCTGCATCACGGTCTCAAGTGTTAAACGACATGATTAATTATCACCAGCTGGCCCACGCTCTAGCAGTCTTTTCATTAAAAAATATGTATTAATCTTTATGTATACAAAGACAACATTGACATTGTGGAAGATCAGTGGAGATAAGCAGGATTGATAAGTTGCTCGCATCTGTATTTCCAAAAACCTGCATATTGGCTAGAAACGCTCTCAGTACGATGATACGCTCCATATTGATCTTGACAAAACTGGTTCAGACCTACCCTTTCAAAGCTTCTAAGATTTACTTGGACTGAATTGGCGATTGCCATCACACCGGAGAACAATCAGGCAATCACCTTGTGGTGTTTTGCCGTCTGTAAGTTAGTATATATTTATATCAGGCTAGCAGGCAGGGAAGGCGATGGCACTACATGCAGAAAATCTAATGACAATTAACAAGAAGTTTGCATTGCGACGTGTCCGGATGGACAACGTGACGTGCGATCTAGACCCAATAATAAGCTACGCTTTAGAGTAACGAAACTTCAGCTATCTTTGTGCTTAAATTCATGGTGACCAGTTTTTTACTTTATCTTAAATAGCAGGAAACGATTTTCGTCCTGTAGAAAAGTTAAAGCAGTTCGCGACCAAGTAAAATTATATCACTTCACCTTCCTAACACCGCGTATAAGGCTGAATGAGTCTCGTTTTTTTTAAATTGCGGCTAAGTACAGTTGTGTCTGCGCTGCACTAAGCGCCAACATGGCGGCGCCCACTAGCGAATCGGGGAACGGAGTGCGAATTCTCTAAGCGTAGCTCACTTGTGGCTCTAGCGCATTTCGCCGATATTTATGCATATTCAGGGATAGAACCTCGAAAGTAAAAAAAATATATAGCCCATTACACTGTTTACGAACAAGTCAGCGTTTGCCTACTTTAGGTGTGGGCACCCCACCTGCGCAAAGACCATATTCCCATAAATCGTGCGCGCATGCGCAGAGCCGAGAGTAAAGCGAGTATTTGCATGCCGCCATAGCTGAGTATGCGTTGGCTGAGCGCGTGCTGACTGTTCTTTTCCAACGTGGATTGCACAGCATCCAGATTGTCAGTCTAAGCAGCCAATAAATGTCAGCTTGTTGTAAGCATACGATTGGATCTGCTCACTCAAATATACCGCCTAGTAAATGACACCTATAAAGCCTACAGATGACTTGCATATGACGTCCTTTGCGGCCAGGTCAGTATTCTATGTTCCGCAAGCGTTCGCTCCCTCTTGTTTTGTTTCACACCTAAATCGTTGTACGAAACGAAAGAGATTAAGTAGAAATAGCCGTCAGTACCCACCAATGGCAATACTTCCCAACTATGTATAGGTGATGAGCTTCTTCTTACTATAGTCTCTTTTAATAGCGTCGTTTTCTGGTAGACCTGAAAATACTGCACAGCAAGAAGTTAGAAGGCACCACCAGCTGGCACGTCTAGAAAACTTCAAGGTTTATTTCCCCTTGTATCAATGTGGCTATGCATCGCTTACACAGGCAGCTGCACTCTAAAAAACGTCTGTGGCTCTACTTTCACGCACAACACTCGGAGAGCCAATCAGCGCAACTTACAGGGGCAGCTCAGCGAATGACACGGCCGAAACATGTGTTTAGACCAAAAAACTCAGTCTGAGTTGTGACATTAAGCAATGCGAGCGTGACGTTTTGCATTGCTTAATGTCACAACTCAGACTGCGTTTTTTGGTTTAATCACATGTTTCGGCAGTGTCATTCGCTGAGCTGCCTCCGTAAGTTGCGGGATTGGCTTTCCGAGATTTGTGCGTGAAAGTAAACGTACAGACTTTTTTTAGAGTGTGGCACGGGGCGTCATAGCTCCGTACCAATGGTAATTTCTAGTTGTTCCTCCCCCCAAAAAAATTTGGTGATGGGAATTATCAGTTCCAGAAGGTACGCGCGCAAGAGCAAAGTCCTTCACACTGGCCGATGACGGGACGTCGGTACGAGCTATGCCTAACAAATGCATATATCGTGGGGTTGAGTGCAGCGTCATAATGCAGCTAGGGTTTTCAGAGCTGTGAGTAGAGATGCCATCTTTATTATATTAGTTGCTAACCTCAAACATACACGCCTTGCACTGACGTTCTCAACATTGGTCATTGTGATGACCTTACTTGCCAGCGCGTACCTTTAGCAGCTTAGACTTCAACCCATCGAATTCCTTTTTGGACGTCAAGAACAAGCAGAAATGACGACCATCATAATAGAATGCCGTCAGGTGAAGGTTATTTTTAGGACCTACTCTGGCATTTCCCCCCTTAACAAAGCAGCTCATGATCTGGAAGCAGAAAACTGATTAGAACTTACCCGTTTGTTGCGGCCGCCGTTTCCCATCGCCAATATTAGATAGACAGCGAGTACAATGCAACCGAACATAAGGCTGAGGGTGATCATCTGGACTTTCTTTTTGCGCTGCGGATCCATCTGCTTGTATCCCGAGTGAATGAGCTTCTCAGAGCTCCAAGGAAGTCGGGAGAAAAAGCGACCCAAATCTGGAAGGGGAGGCATGTTGGGCCACATCGCGAAAGCAAGGAAGCTACAAAGGAAGGGCACAATGTCTTCTAACCGTCACGAGAGAAATGACCGAGCCTGCGAGCATTCGCGTGCAACCTCAGTTAATAATGATGATAATGAAAGGACATTTGGTCTCACAGATTTATAGTAATATAAATCTTTAAAGGAACAATATTACCCGTCCCCCTCCCCTCCAATTTAATATTAATATTTTGCATTGCGATTTAATATGGCGTCAGAACACTATACCCAATCATGATTTTGCTACAGAGTTCAGTATATGTTTAAATTGGTAAAAGAAAAATGGAACTCAGCTGCTCGAGACCAAAACCGAAACATAAAAACGGAAGTTCATGGCCGTGACATGTGTACGATGTGTACTGAGGAGGAGGGAGACATGTAATGGAGGCGAAAGTAGCCGGAAGTGAAGTGGCGACACACGATCGCGTCTTCTTTTCTCCGCTTTTCAGTCGTGTCAAGCAGACGCCGGCGACGACGAACTTGCGTGGAACATTTGTCGTGCGATTGTTTCGCACTTACAGACGTTTTCAGGCAGCTGTGCTTGGGCGCCGCCCTAACCAACCTTCAGTTTTTTACGTTTTTTTCCCTCTCATTTTGTTTGCTTCACTTCATCATTGCCAAAGCAGGACGGGTTATTGGCACTTTAGGTTTTACTGTGTCCATTTCCCCAGCATATACCTTTGTCGAGCCTCATCAACGCCCGCTTCAGTGCATCTCGTTAAGACTAAAGTCACTGGATCATGAGAAAGCAGCCCCATTGCTTTCCCCACCGGCTACCCGGACACAAACAGACACTAACATGCAGACGACCAAAACCTCGCAAGGCGATTGGCTAATCTGTCTACGTTGCCATTGAAATCACCATCTCGGTCCATTCAAATCTTCGAAGCTTCCAGAGAGTCGTTCTAAACAAGTCGCGCCAAAATCACCATGGAGCATCATCGTATACGTTAACGCTACGTGAGCGCCCCAAAGAGCAGTCATGTGGCGCTTCCTAGCGCGTGACTTAGTTATAATACAGCACGCGATTAGCGCTTGAGTAGCGCCTTGTTAGAGCTTGTACGGCGGGTATTGCTGCGGGTTAGCGCGTTCACTGAGTTTCCGGTTCCTGTGGTTGGGTGTGCATCAACAGTACCATGGCGGACATGTGGGGCGCTAAATTAAAGACGCGACAAATGCTCTTACATATTCAATTATTGCATATGTGTGTGGACGACTAAACGCCTAGAAGAGCCTTTAGGACGCGCGATATCTTTCGCCACCGAAATACCGACGGGTATCCGGCGAACCTTGTTCCCAGGTTGAGAGACTGAGACGCAAAGCTCTTTCGAAGGTGATTATTTTTAACTGGGAGTCTTTGAAACCAGGGTCACGTGTAGCAAATAGAAATCGATGAAATCGTACCCAATTAATTAGTAGCCCAGAGCCCGTGGCTCTGGATCGTCTGCCCGACCTTTTGCTTGGAGAGCGGCTCTTTTCTTCTGCTTATTTCAATGTCAAAGGAAAAACAACAACAACGGAATCGCCGTGCACACGCTGTTCCGCAGCAGCAAGCACGGCACAAGGAGCGTGAGAGCGCTTACACTGCGCTGCTGAAGCGCTAACCGAGCGCCTACTGGAGCGCTTCTGAAGCCCCAACCTAGCGCTACGTCACGCGCAAGTCGGTGCCACATGAGTGCTGCTTCCAGCGCTCATGAAGCGCTAACTGAGCGCTTTGCTGTATGCGTGAACCGGCCTCAAAGCTCGTCACCGGCGAATTTAGATCCGCTCACTATGAACGGATGGTTCAAGGAAAAATTGCTGCCATGGATTAATGTGGCGACCATACGGGGAGCATGGCGCTACTTCCTTAGTTGTCAAATTTCCTAGGCTGGGGTACCCACAACAGCTGTAAAATAAGGGACCCTCCAGTCCAGGCTCCTAGGCAGAAAAAACGTCTTTATCTCGTGCGTTCCTCTTGAGCCGTCCGCACGTGTCTCGTGCCAGCCACGTCACACGTGGGTCACTCAACAATCACCACATCCCCCTTTTTTTTTAAAGCAGGGTAATTTACAACATATACAAAACAGCTAGCAGAGTTTAAACACAGCACAAAGTAATTTAAAATTTATACAAACCATCTTGCCAAGTTTAAACACATCACAGAGTAATTTAGAATATATACAGAGAACCTGACGAAGTTTAAATAGCACATTAGCTGTCGAACAACTCAGACAACAAACGTATATGGTGCAAAGTATTTGACAAGACCTCTGTTAAATCCCACATCAATCTTCAAAACCCAGCCTGACAGGCTTGCGCACAATTCGTCTTGACCTGGTCACATAAGCCTGAGGTACCCTTGCAGCGCCTGAAGCAGGTCCTGCAACAATGTTACTTCGCGTACCGCAGTCTAGACTTTTGTTCGAACTGTCGGTGTCTTCCTCATCCCCTACGGGAAAGTCTTACGAACCGCCGTTCTGGTGGGAGGAACCAGAAGGTAGAACGTGTAAAGCTCTTCTGTTTCGTCTCAGCTGTCTTCCAGAATCTGTGTCCATTAAGTAAGACCGAGGTTTGGCAGCTCGTGCTACCACTGTGGCTTCCGACTTCCTGTCGTTTACCGACACTTTATCTCCCACTTTCAACGTACGTAGCTCTGTCGCTCGGGGTCGTTTGTTGAAGCCACTGCGTTGCTTCTCGCGTTTTCCGCGGCCCGCTTGTGTTACTGTTTTCAGATCGGAGCGCACCTGACCATGTAACTTGGGGTGCATTGGCACCCTCGTCCGAAGACGTCGTCCCATCAAGATTTCAGTAGGACTTCTTTCCGTCAATCCTGGGGTGGCTCTGTAAGCCAAAAGAGCTAGGTAGGGATCTGCTGATTTTTTAACGAGACGTTTAACAGTTTGCACCTTTCTCTCTACCTTGCCATTTGCTTGTGGGTACCTTGGACTAGACGTAACGTCACGAAACCCGTACTTCGATGCAAATGTTTCGAATTTCAAGCTTGCAAATTGGGGTCCGTTGTCTGAAATGACAATTTCGGGCACACCATGTCGAGCGAAAATACTCTTAAGTCGTTCGATGACAACGTTGGCACGAGTAGAAGGGAGCCGGGCTACTTCGGAAACCGTGACAAGTAATCAACAACAACTAAGTAATCCGGGTCATTTATCTTACACAGATCCGCACCCAGTTTTTGCCAGGGGCAGGCGGGGGTGACCATTGGGATCATTGGTTCCGCACTTTGGTTGCCATACTGCGCGCAAACTCGGCAGTTCTGTACCAACGCACCAAGTTCCTTACTTAGGCCCGGCCACCACACGCATTCTCTAGCCCGAGCTCGACACCTGGCTATGCCCTGGTGAGCGTCATGCAAGCGGAGCAAAACCCCTTTCCTTAGTTCCTGAGGGACACTTAACTGCGTGCCCTTTAACAAGAATCCTTCACCCTGGGTTATCGAAGCCCTTACCTGCCAGTATGGGCGTAGCAAATCAGGAACTGATGGTTTCACGGACCAGCCCTCCTCACATAAACGCTGTAGCGACTTATACAGACATTGACCAGAGGCTTGATACTCTTTTACTTTGAAGACAAAGTTTTTTCCGGTTTCTAGCCCCATCAGGCAACCCTGCGAGTATGCGTTTACTACTCCAACTGTTAGTTCGTCCGGAACCACCCGTTTGTCTTTGATTGGAGCACGAGGCAAACCGTCAGCCGTAATGAGCTGCTTTCCCGGTACGTAAACCATTTTAAAGCGGTATCGCATGAGCCTCATGCGAAACCGCTGCACGCGGGGAGGTAGGACGTCAATAGAGTAAGTTCCCAGCAACGGAACCAACGGTTTATGGTCAGTCTCAAAGACGGCATCCAGCCCTCTCAGGTACTTATCAAACCTTTCAGCGGCCCACGTCAACGCCAGCGCCCCTTTCTCGATCTGCGCATACCGCGTCTCCGCTGAGGTTAAAGAGCGAGAAGCAAATCCAATAGGTCGTCGGTCGCCATTTTTCTGGACCTGAGAAAGAACTGCGCCAAGGCCGAACGACGAGGCATCTGCAGAAAGGACAGTGGACAGGGTGGGGTCATATTTCGCGATGCACTCAGCCGAGCAGATGCTGTTCTTGAATGCACTCAGAGCTGCCTCTTGGGCTGGGCCCCGCACCCACTCAACATCCTTCTTTAAGAATTCCCGCAAAGGAGAGGTCTTGTGCGCTAGGTCAGGTAAGAACCGGCCCAACTGGTTGGCCATACCTAGGACTCTTCTGACCTTTGACACGTCTGCAGGAGTTTTAAGGTTCTGGGTAGCTGTGACCTTTTCAGGGTCAGGCTTTATGCCGTCTGCACTGGCGCGGAAACCCAGAAAGGTCACTTCCTTCGCCCCGAAAATGCATTTGAACATGTTAAGGGTGACTTTGGATTCTGCCAGCTTATCTAAGGTTTTCTTTAACCTTTCATCGTGCTCAGATTTGTCTTTCCCGAAAATCAACACGTCATTCATAAGGTTAACGACTCCAGGAAGATGCTGCAAAATTTCTGACATTCCCTTCTGGAAGTATTCTGGCGCAGAGCTTATACTGAAAGGAAGCCTGGTAAAGCAGTACCTTTCATACGGCGTGATAAAAATCGTGAGCTCCTTAAAATCTTTTGATAACTTGATTTGATGAAACCCTGAGTTTGGATCTAACTTTAAAAAAAAAAAAAACGCATCGGCGAGCAAACCTAAGGTTTGATCTACTGTGGGGAGAACAAATCTCTTCCTTCGCACGCCCCTGTTCAGTTGGGTGAGATCGACACATATCATCATCATTATCATTTATTATTCCTTGAAGGCCCAGGGGGCATTATACAAGGGGGTGAACACTTAAAAAAAAATCAAGTAACAAAACTATTTATCTACAAAAACACGCTGTAATCTAGTTATGGGTTAGAAAAAAAATTCTTACATTTCCGGACGGTTAGAGCAGAGGCACTATTCCCGCGCACCACTCTGTAGGCCC